TATTTTGATAGTCTAAAAGATTATTTTCTGTGTACCCAGCTAATAAACGCTGGAACGAAATCGTTCTTTCCGTGCAAAGTCTCCTTCTCTGGAGATCTTCCTTTCTAGACGCCGTCAATCGCAGGTAATTGGAGAAGGCTCGAGCACATGGATAGAGCGATAAACGAGCTCCAGCTTTGGCATGCGAGGTTCATGAATATGGATCAGGAAAGTAGTAATCGCGAAATGAGATACAAGACGGACCGCAATATGCTGCTGCGTGCGATTACGATGTACGCATCAGGTTTATCCCGAGCGCATTAATGATACACGGGGAGTAGTACTTCTGTCCCGAGAGAGTAGAGACAACTAGGAGCAATGGAATATACCTTCACTTTTCACTTTTATTTGCCATTGTCAGTTTATTGCGGCGACGCGACGTTCCATCGTATGACGCGCTTCCCGTTCGCGTGTTTGACCTTTTCGTATAGTGGATATTTATAAGATCCGCGCGCTACGACCGTGATTTTAATGCGAGGTCGTTATGCAAATCTCGTAAGGCTCTTTCAGTTTATCACGTTCGTTAAATATCAGATTTTACACGCTCACGGTAGCGCCGCCGTCGATTAACAGCGTGACTTTATCCTTCATGTTTATAGCGTTGGATGAGGAGATGAAGCAAGTTAAAACGTCAAAGCTTAGGACCTGTATTAAAATCTTATCCAAAATGATTACATCGTAACTGGTGATTTCATAATTTTATTATATATTTGCTTAGAAAGTATCTATTGTAAAATTAATTTTAATTTATATTAAGTTATTAACTTAATTTAATTTGATTTAAATAGTAAAGTAATAGTAAAGTCAGTTGGATTAATAATTAATAATGATAATTTAAATTGATGTAATACTTATTATTAAATTTATATAATAATTAATCAAATGTTTCTATTAGAACGGGAACTATCGTTCCAATAAAAAAGACTATAATTCCTTATTATAAATTCTGCAAAGATATTTCGAGAATATCGGGAGGTAGGGTCTCCTTTCGCAGTTCCAGGCGTGAAAATTGCACCTTAGAATGTAAAAGTAGCAATAATCAATCATCCATAACGCGAGTTAGGATTTATAAGACAAAATGGAAAAGCATGCACGATAAATACTGTTTAATTTATTGCCACTGTTAGAATTGTCACACGTGTTTAGATAAGGGCACATTCTTGCCACGAGATTCGTAACAGTGATTAATTGTCGCTGATATGCATATTTCCAGGCCGATATGGTATATCAAAAAGAAAAAGATCACGCCAAATCAGCATCGATGCAAAAAAATCAGGATTATTTTGTTTTTTTAACATTTCATTAAATACATAATAATTTCATTAAATTCAAAATGTCAGTAAATACAAAATATAGTGTTGTAACGATATCGTTAATCATGTTATAAGGTATAAAACAGCGTATATTTTATAAGTTTACTAATAAAAAAATTTATTTCTAATATTTTATGATAAAACTTATAAAAATATTTATAGTAAAAATAATAATAAATGATTTATTATAAAACTTCGTGAAAAATAGTAACAAAAACAAAAAAAAAGATATTTTAGGATGCATCATTTGGACTCGATCATTCGCGGATTAATCGACGAGTTGGTAAACACCTGGTGTAACACGTACGTGTGTACTCTGTTATCATAAAGGTAAATTTTGTGATATTGAAAACACTTCTCGCTTGATAATCGCTTAATCACTCTGTGACGAGTGCGCGAATCGCGGAAAAAGTGGGAGAGCGTAAACGGCACATAGATATCGGATCGTGATATAGCATTTATTCGAATGATACTTTTATAAATAACGTATGTAATTTTCGAACGATGTTACGTACAGAAATCTGCAATTTTGTGACCTGCAATCACGATTCACTAATTTAATTGTGCAAAAGGATCAATTAAAGATTCTTGAGATATTTAAGAGGAAATCAAATATTGTATATAATAAAAAAATAAAAGAGTAAAAAAATATAAGTGTGTTACAAAACGATTTCTGTTAAATTTGTGTGGGATAATAAAATAATTACTTATTAAAAAATAATAATGCAGTGAGATTGGCAGTGCTAATAATGTTTTAGATATTTAAGTGTAAAAAGTATAAGGTACGATCTTAAAAAATCGTGTTTCAACTAAATTTTGTAAACTTTTTTAAATTTTTAAAATAAAAATTACGCAATCTTTTCCATATTTGTACGATGATAATGTATCGAGATCATAAAATAGGATGAGATGATTTGATGATGATAAATCGATCGCGAATCTTATCGATAACGCTATCATGTACCGGAGATGTATTATAAATACTTTACTAGAAATTCGTGTCAGTACAACTACGTCTTATATTGTATAACAAAAATTTGTGATATAAAAGATACGCAGAAGTTAATTATATGAAATCAATGAAAAATGATTTAAAAAATTAATTTATAATCTTTATAAATTGTTTATAAATTCATTAAAGTTGTACATCGCAATAATTTGCAAACTTTTTGTGTCTTTCGCTAAGATTATTGATTAAATGTACATACATAATTGCGATGTGTGATTGTGAGATAAATAAATGTGGAACAATTTGTTTAAGTGTCAAGTATTAAATTTCTTAATTTCGCAAGAGAAAGAAAATACTTGTTAAATGCCGCTGTATTGGTATGTATTTAAGTATGTACGTATGAAAGTGCGTTAACGATTACAGGTCTGGATGGGAAGGACGTTTCGTCTTTGGAACACGTGTGTTCTTATCAACGGTCATTTTTCTCGCGAGTTACGATAACGGTTTTGCGAAGCGTAATTTCTGTCCGACGGCAGTCTCACGGTCTTCGACGATTTACCTTTGATATTTTTACAATCTCCTCGCAAAACCTGTAATATATATACGCCACACAAATATAAGACGTGCAATCTCTATCAATTAATTCGCAGTCTTTTATTTACATATAATTTGCAAAGTGAAAATTAAGATTATTCAACTAGAATTATCCAACAGCCAAATTTGATAGATAGTAAATTAAATTATTTGTATTACATTGCTCTCTCTCTCTCTCTATTGTATTTAATTTTATATTTTAAAACTAATAATTGTATATGTATTGTTTCTGATCATTTATATCGTCGATTTAAAATAATAATTAGACTAAGTAAGAAATTGTAACTCTAATTAACTTTAAATCATTTGATGTAATGAAATAATGCGATAAAACAATTTTATCTAATTTAATATAAATAAAATAAATGTCAAATAAATTAAACTAGTTATAAATTGTTATAATATTTATATACTTTCTCACGGATCGCTCTAAGAGATATTATTAAAGATCTGCATTAAAGATCTTATGTTATCGTTTACAAGAGCATATATTAATTATGTGACTTGTAAAATATATGTATTTGCAATATGTAAGTTAGAGTCAGGTAAGTTTGCCAAAACTAAATGATCGAGCAGATCATCTGCGAAATCGGTGCCATTCGCGCAGATACTAATGGTGACATCTTGTGTATCGATTACGAACTTGATTGAATATTTAAAAGGCGCCACAACGTGAGTATTCGAATTGTACAATAAATTATTACAATTTCATGTACAATTTACTAATTTATTGTTTTACTAATTTATGTACAAACACTGTTATGTTTAAAACTAGAACTAGAACTTTTTATTACTTCAACTTACAACTGCCAAGAAGGGACTTGGTTTATAATAAATACCTTAACCATGCTCATCCTTCCACACTGCAAAAGACCTACTAACCACTATTTGACTCTATCTAAATTTCTTATACTGTTTTAAATTATTAGGAGTGTTATTTAGTTTTGAGGGTTTTGTAAAAGAGATGACATTAATATCAGTGCAGTTGTCAAAGACCTTGTCAAAGACCTTTTCTCTTTAGGAGGAAAAAAAGAAGAAGAAAGATGAACTGGTGCAAAAGTTCAGCCAAAAAGAACAGGCCTATTAAAATCACAGCTATTATTTCTTAATGCTTTTCTTAATATTACTTCATGATATTTAGTCGTTTACTAACAATAGACGGCGCAGTAAACATCGTGTTTATTGTACCATTTAAAAAATGGAGCTTCCTACTCAGTGAGAAATGACAATGAAATCGATGTCGATTCCATTATCATTTTTCATAAAGAGCATTTTCGACATATGTTGTTTTTGTTTTTTTAATCAGAAGAAAACGGCGGCTGAAAGTCATAAAATTCTGATAGAAACATTATGGTGATGTTGCTCCATCAATTAAGACACGTGAATATTGGTTCAGGCGATTCAAAAGTGGTGATTTCAACGTTAACGACAAAGATCGCTCGAGACAATAAAAAAAACTGGAAAATGCAAATTTGCAAGCATTATTGGAAAAAAATCCACTTCAGACCTTGCCAGACAATTAAATGTTGATCGTACAACAGTTACTAATCGTTTACATGATATGGGAAAATTTACAAAGAAGGAAAATGGATTCTTCGTTAATTATCTCTTGTCAGAAAAATGGGAAAAAGTTATAGAGAACGAAGAAAAATATTTTGATTAAGGTATTCGTTTATCTTGTTTAAATAAATCAGTGTTTGAGAAAAAAAAGTCCCAAAACTAAATCACATCCCTAATACTTAAAAATTTCGCATCATCAAAATGTGACATATTATATATATGTATTACGTTTATATCGTCGACTTCTATCTTTTTCAAATTTCTACGTAAATTAATTTTTTCGCGGCACTATTTAATCAAAATTTTTCATTTTAAAATGAGTTTTTGTACGATAGATCACTGTATGCTCGATTATTACATAGCATGATATTTTTTTACTCATGCTCGATTATTAAAAATAACAAATGCACAATGCAATCTCTAATCTTCAGCGATTCGCGCCATGTGTCAAAATTTCCTTACTCTTTTCACCTTGTTTCGCGTAACTATATAATATCCATCGAAATTTTGTCTGCAATATTGAGTTTCGTGATTGCAATATTTTCGTGATTGCAATATGATCCCGATTGCGAAGCCCGAGCTCAAGATACTAGATAAGAATAAATTACATATATCGCGAAGGCCAGGATGCATCACGTGGCTGTTGCTCTGTCGTAAGAAATGATTTATCGAATTATTATGTCTTCAAGTTTAGCGTATAAAATATTCTTCTTCTTCAGTCAACAAATCGATTAAAATATATACATAGCGCAATTTTTCAACGTTCATATTACGCTAAGCTAAGATCTAGCATTTATGTGATTGCAATCTAAATCATAATTTCATTTAATATCTTCTGTATTTTATAATCGGTATTCTTAAAGCCACTGAAACAAAATATATATGCGTATTTATTTTCTATATTTTTATTCTTAATATCTATTACACACTAAGCGAACCTGTTTTCCAGTGTCTGCGATAATCTTCATCGGAATATTTAGCCGCTTGACAAGCAATGTGTACCTACTGATTATCTTGCTTCTGGGCGAGATCATGTTCGGATTGGATAGTTTTGGAGAATGGGAGGACCTGATTTTGTACAAGGACGAAAACAAAGCCGTTGTCGAGAAATCCGTTTGGAGCGATAAACTGTGCTCGGGTAGCTCGGGTCAACTCTCTTTCATGAAACTTACCGACATCCGGCACATTGGAGTCTCTACCAAGATGGGTCTCTTTATTCTGCACAGAAACGGGAAGATAATCACTCTCAGTATGAAAGGCTTAACGAGAAAGGAGATACAAGATTTGAGAAAAGAAATCAACCATTTTTTAAACATGAGCCGGCTCAAACATCTCGATCATTCTCTAGTCGATCCTTCAAATCGATTATTACTTCCTTCCGGTTCCGAGGAATACTTACAAAACTTGTCAAGAACATGTCTACCTGTGTCCAATGAGTTTACTGTCTCGGACAATGTTTTGGGAAGTACATTGGGCAGAACGTGTTACCAGGTGCAGCAGAATTTGAGCTACCCAAGTTTAATGCATGGAACGCAACTTAACAGCTATCAATTGTCAAACTTAAAAAAAAGTCCTTATACGGAAAACTCGACGCGTTTCAATTATGTCAAGTATATTAGAAACATTTGCACCATTCCCTCACCTCGCAATTTGTACAAGTTCCATAAAGAATGTAATTAATCAAGTATCATTCGTTTACGTTGTACATGTTCTTGAGAGATTACTCACATTGTATCTCATTCGTGATTCAAGACAAACTTGTGCGTAACAAAGCAAGATTTTATTCATTCTATGTTGCAATAAATAATTTATTATTAAATAACAATTTGTTTGAAAGCATCGCAGAGGATACTTCAAAACTTATATAATCACTTATATCATCACTAGTTATTAATTAGATAACATATCACATTACTATAAGTTTTACAATGATCATATGTATGCGATCTCTATCGGTTTTTATAACAATTAAATAAATCCTTTTTACATAGTATGTGATTTAACAAGTTGTTTACAAGCATTTTCAATATCTGGATATTGATACTGAAATCCTAATTCTGTAACATGCTTTGGTACAACCTTTTGTCCCTCCAACATTATCTGAAACATTAAATGAAATACCAGTATTTTATTAATTAGTATTATATTAATATCAAATTATTACATTTAGTATTAAGCTTGTTAAATATACCTTTGCTCGTTCTTCATTGAGTAACATTTTTAAGAAAAAACTTGGAACAGGTATGATCGCGAATCTTTTTAGTGCCGCTGCAAATGCTTTTGTAAACTCCTTGTTTGTTACAAGCTATTAACAGAATAATATACGTATAATTAATTATATTTCAATTGGAGAGCACAATGTAAAACCGTTTGTATTACCTGAGGCGCTACTCCATTTAATATACCATGCACATTGTTATTTGTAAGAGCAAATATAAACATGCAAACTAAGTCAGTAATATGTATCCAAGGCATGTATTGATTTCCATTTCCTAGTGGTCCACCGAGTCCCGCCAAGAATGGAAAATAGATGCTCTTAATCATGCCGCCCTCTCTTCCTAATACAACTCCGGATCTTATTGTTACTTGTCTAATGTTACTATCTTCTGGTAACTTTGCCGCTTCTTCCCAATCGTGACAAAGTCCTAATCAAATCGACAAATTAATAATATAAATATATAAATATTATATTACATATAAAAAATAAGATTCTACTTGATAGAAAGTCATATGATTCGCATTTGCTTTCTTCTGTGTATACAGTGTCATCGGGTTTGTAATACGCTACTCCTGATATAGTTGCGAAAACTGTAGCCTTGGTGTTCTGTATAGAGTCTGCCAGAGCCTTTGTTGTTTTCACCCTGCTGTTCCTAACATTCTGCTTGAATCCAGGCGACCATCTTTGCATAGGATCCAGTATATTCTGTCCAGCAAGATTGATGACAGCTGACGTGTTCTCTGGTAGACCGTGGTGTTCTAAATCATTCTATAGATACGACTATCGTTAGATTGAATCTTACCAACAAGCAAATTCTGAAATGCAAATCGATCCATTCTCATATACCCATGATATTCTATTTGGTCCTGGCATTCGAGAAATACACGTACAGGAGACACCTGCGAGATTCAATGATTTTATTAGCTGCTTTCCTATGAAGCCAGTACCACCACCTGAAAACATTATATGATCTTACTTCTATTGGCATAACATGATTAATCTTTTGCATATGTACGAAATTATCAATCAGTTTGTATATAAGTATGCTCACCTATCACTACATGCTTTAAACCATTTATTTGAGCCATGTTCACAAATCTGATACCCTTTTATGTTAAATATAATTTGTAATACTTTTATTTTAAGCACAAATTTGCAAGACTATGCAGACAAGATTGAAAGATGCAATGTAATTTACAAAATTATTATGACAATAGAATTTTTAGAATAATAGACACATTAAGATAGATATGTCATATGCTTACATAATAGAAAGTAAATTATAGAACATTGATCCACTATTATCAAATTTGCTATCCATATATTTTTCTCATGCAACGTATTATTCTATGTAACAAAATTTTTTAAATTGTTTCTTTCAAGCGTAATTTTGACAATCATAATCAGTCGTAATTAACAATTCTTTTTCTCTAATTGGTCGCACTTGTTACTGCATACGGAGCTCGCACACTGCCAAAAATCTTTGTTTACCTCCAATCTTCCATAGAGTTAAACAAAGCTAAGTATATAAAAAGCATCGACATCTAGAATGGACCGCTGATAGCAATGGTGGGGGTAGAAAGACGATTAGAGTGAGAGGCAGGAATAATAAGATCGTTCTTTCTCTGTTTACTGAAGAAAAAAGTAAATCAAAAACACATCAAAGGCATTGGCTGCGTTCAGCAGACTCAACAGTTTTGCAACCGTTTTATGAATGGGTGCATTCAGCGGACTCAACAGTTGAGTGAGCGCTCGCTGTTATTGGTGTATTCTTTTAGATCATCCAATCATAATTTTAGATCTAGAAGAATACGTCAATAGCAGCGAACGCTCACTCAACTGTTGAGTCCGCTGAATGCAGCCATTGTCTGCTGAGATAGGACCATTCTTCTAGATTTAAAAGTATGATCCAATTAGCGCGAAGGAAACTTCCAACAGTTGCAAAACAAACGTTCTGCTGAACGCAGCCATTTATAGCGAAACTTTGACCACAGTCGTGATCCAATACTTTTGAGTGGCACTCAATTGTCCACGTCGCCAATTGGCCATTCATTAGAGGTCTATCTGATTGGTGGTCTAATGAAAAAACTTGAAGCACCGGTCGTTGAGTGGCCATTTGTCTTTCATAATAGATTTGTTTATATATTTGCATTGAAAATGAGATAAAAAATTTATTCGCGTTGTTTAAAATCTTCAAAGGTTTTTGTACCTAAAATCATGATGTAAAGATACCAGGTGTTCCATTCCCGTGGTTGCGCAGTAGCAGCGTGAATTGAGGCAAAAATTTGATTGGCTATTTCAATATGCCAGCGTTATTATACGCAGGAAAGGGCATTGAGGCAAAAATGTGATTGGTTGTTTCCAGTATTGCTATCGCTATTATGCGCAATGAAACACCTGGTATCCTTATGCGGGCTCTACAATAGAAGTCGTAGCAATCGTAGGCTATAGTCGTAGAAAATTGACCAATCACAGACGAATATGAGAAGAATAATCAACTGTGATTGGTCAATTTTCTACGACTTAAGGCCTTACGACCGCTACGACTTCTATTGTAGACCCCGCATTACATCATGCCTAAAATGAGATAAATATATATTTGCACGTTGAAAAGAAAGAAAGCGAAGATGCTAAGTGCAAAAAGTGCAAGCAACGCGAACAGGAGATCGATTGTGTATCTTGAAACGAGATGAAAATTACAAAAATAAAAAAATTCATTAGAATATTAATAATTTTATTGGTCGACACCTAGTAAATTCGTCCCTGAAAATTTTTGTTTTATAATTTTCACCTTATTTCAAAATACGCAATCGACCTTTCGGACCAAAGGATGCGTTCTCTCCTGTTCGTAGACAAGTCTCGAGTCTCGAGAAGATCATACCCCATGACTGAGTCCAGTAGTCACCGCAGAAAATCCATTATGGTGTCCGTCGTTCAGCAGTTTATTACGAATGTCCGCATTTCGGAATAGAATCACAATCTGACAACCGCGTGGCTAGCGGTAATTATGAAAATTCGATTGAAAGCTCCACGCCGCATGTGAAGACTCTGATGCCACTGTGTCTCGTGCACGATCGACAACCGTGAAGGGATCAGTGCTTCGAGGATAGAGCGGCCGTGATCCTCCCGTTTGTCCTCTTCTTCGGCGCGGAAAGAGAATTTTGAGAGACAAGAGAAGCAACGAAAATTGAAAAATGGATATCGACAAGACGAAGGACGGCGTGGAAGTGAGTGACTCGGAGGCGGCTAGCAAAATCAAGGCGAAGAAACGGGACTCGATAGCGGATGTCACCTTAGATATAAAGTCTCGTCTCAGTTTGGAGACGACAGAGGCTTGTGGAGAACCGCATGTCAATGGAGTAGCTCAAGTGAACGGTATCTGCGACTCTCCTCAAAGAACTGCCGCTGTCACCGATCTCTCCTCACAATCTAAAACAATGGAAACTAGTCATTTAAACCAACATGGTATACAATGCCAACTTATTCGCCATGTGCAGTAGATACGATAGACAAACTTCAGTTTATAATCCTAATAATAAAATAGAACATGTCATCATTCATCTATTCTTGTAAAAGATTCTGTTGATCTTGCGTGATGGAGCCTAGTACATTTTTTCTTGCCAATTGAAGATATCTGGTCCAAGTGCTGCTTTACAAATATTTCTTTTATTCATCTGAAAATTTTTTAATTATGTAAATACTATAATTTAAGGTTGAAATATGTTGAGCGATTTGTGTTAAAAAAAAATCTTGTTTAATTAGAACAATTTTTATATATTATACAACTGTGTGTACGATGCTAGGAATGGGTGAAAACGTCTGCTTCTTGTTATGTTACAGAACAAGCAGGAACATTATCCATGGAAAGTAAAGACAACGATATCCAATATGTTAGCTATACAAGTGAATTACAAATGCCTGATATTATGAAATTAATACAGAAGGACCTAAGTGAACCATATTCTATTTACACATATAGATATTTTATTCATAATTGGCCGAAATTGTGCTTCCTGGTATGTGTTCTCCAGAAAATCTCTATTTTATGTTATAACTTAAGTTATCATTTAAATTAACGCATCATTTTATCATTCTAGTAAATTCTAGTTAATGCATATGATATCGCATGTGTGTTGTTTTTGCAATATTAATAAAGATGTTACAGTTTCTGTATAATTTGTTATTATGGGGCATTTAAAAGACACTGATATTGTTTCCAAATTTCATAAATTATCAAAGAATTATAAAAAAATTACTTTAATTCTTTTGGCTCTCAGGTAGAATTTAAACAAAACTGTTCTTTTGTTTGTCAAGGCAATGCATGGTGATGAATGCGTTGGTGCCATTGTCTGTAAACTAGACATCCACAGGAAGGTGATAAAGCGTGGTTATATCGCAATGCTGGCTGTCGATGTGAAATATCGGAAACGGAAGATTGGTTCGAATCTGGTGAGACAAGCTATCCAAGCAATGGTGGAGGATGACGCTGACGAGGTGGTTCTGGAGACGGAAATTACTAACAGGCCAGCGCTGCGCTTGTACGAAAATCTTGGATTTGTGCGGGATAAACGATTATTTCGATATTACTTAAACGGCGTGGATGCATTACGACTGAAATTATGGCTCAGGTGAAATTCATCCGCGTGCTTATGTCAATAGGTATTTAAATAATTACAATGTTGAAGAGATGTAACATCTATGCTCTACTACATCAGACAAACGGACGACATTAATGTCAAAGAGATTATATGTTTCTACATGCACAAATGTGTTTTCAGTTGCAATATCATGCAATTTGTTCTCTGTACTTTCATGAGAGAATTGGTTTATTTAGTTAGGTTATTTAAATAATAGCGTGGATAAACTTTATATTGCAACAAGATTATTTCTGTTTATCTGAAATATCATTTATTTTTAATAAATTTATGTTTATAATGTGAGATAAATGCAATTGAATGAATCTCCAACAGCCTATTGACAGTACGTCCATTAAGGACGGAGTATATGTACAGAGTAATTTGTTAATAGTGCCTAACTGTTGCCTGACTAGTTAGTTATTTTGTTATGAATTTGCTGCAATTCCTTTGATATTAATGTCAATGATCGAAATAGATTTCAATTGCAGCTTGAAGAGAATATAAAATGAGTGATAGCAAGAGACAAAAATTGAGACTGTGAAAAGAACTGAAAATAATCAATGTATTTTACTGGGGCTCACATTGATAAAGACCACATTTTGAAGCATATTTAAGTTTTCATGACTAATCTGAAAAAAAAAATTAGTTTTATGTTGTTACAATTACGGATTTCATTGCATGGAAATTTTTTGAAGATTAAACGTATGTGTATACTTTGTCACCAATGGGTATAATTAACAGAGTTAATAATAGAGATTAAAAAAATGTACCCGAGGAGAAATGTTTCATATTTCCCAGATATAATATTATATATATTTTAATTATATCCTGAAACTACAAAGGATTTCCATGTGAAAAAAAAATTAAAAAGGTTCATATACATTTAACCTACTCGGCCTTGTTGTAAGCAGTTTCGGGGCTTGTTAATTTTTCTGACAAACTGAATTTATACAACTGATTTGACTAGTTTTTAACTCTTAATATATACGAATGGGTCATCCGTGTCCTGCATTTCTTTTTTTTTGAAATACTAGGTGCACCAAGAAATTAGTTACAATATTTATACATAAATATTTTTTTTAATACACAACTTTAGAAATATTTTCTAAAGCATATGTAAGAATCGTTTAATAGTTCTTGTAAAAGTGACAAAAACACAAGACACAAACGACTCATCGTGTGTACTAAGGGTTAATGATTGTAAACAGTGAATTCAAAATATATAGTCTGTAATCTAAAAGAGAAGGAATTGAGGTACATAATTTGTAGAATAATAAAGTAATGTGTGAGATATAATCAACAAAAGGCCATCAATATTTATATAAATTTTAAAAAATTGTTTTTCAATGTTTTTAATGAGTTCAGTTTATTTTTTTTCAGTGTCTCAATGCGGAATGATTATAAAATTGCGTTAATCGATCACCTTATGTGAAAGTTGCTATATCATGCATTGTATGACAAATTGCTGTCGTATTCTAACGCTCTATCAAGCGTACGATTTTGTCAATGTGAACGGCAGAAATGAAGAAAAAAAATAAGGAAAAAGAAAAGAGGAAAAGAAATGAAAGCCGACCGAGGACGGCGGAATTTTAGGAAAAGTATTTCCGTATAAAATTATAAAGTGATACACACACGGAAATATCGATGATATATATGTATATATATATAAATATATAAATGTATGTCTATATATATTATATATATATTACATTAAACGAATATGGACAAAGAAAAAAAAAGAAATTATCGTTTACGAAATTGAAATGTTTGAGGGAGTGCGCCTCACGCGGTGAGAAGTGATACGCGCATTACTGTCTACCTATTATATCTATCTTTGTATAAAATAAATGCGAAGCACAGATCATAATGTAACTATTAAAAAAATGTAAAAATGTTAATAAAAATACATAAATGTTTTTACACGCGTCTCGTTTACATTATGTTTGTCTACTTGCTGCAAAACAGTCATTTTCAGACTGTTTTAATTACATGTTCCAATCCCAGATAACATTTTGTCGATATTTTGCAAGCAAAGAAACACACAAACTGTAGTAGAGTAACTTTACAGTAACTTTGCGACAATTGTGATGAAAGTGTTTGATTATAGCAATATATATTTCGGCAAAATTGAAGCAAATTATCAAAATTTGGCAAAATTATGGCAACATGCAAGCAAAATTTTATTTAACAAATGTTTTTGCCATTGCAACATTACAACAAATAGCAAATAAATTATACTGCTTTGCTTTTGCACGAAATATCTAGGATTGTATTCATGTGGATTTTTATATCTTTTTTTTATATCGATTGAATATTTATTCGGAATGTCTGTTGGTTAAAAAAATAAATTTATATAAATTATTTTATTAAAATTATGATCTATATATATTTTTTATTGAACAATATATATTTATTGTTAATTTTAGAATGTTATCGCAGTGCGATTTTTTTATTTTTTACAATAGTTTCTCAAATATACGCAGAATAAAAAAAATAATTTTTTATTTTTTGTGATCTCTGGGTGGGTGATATGCATGACTTTCGATGCTGGATTTATTATCTCTGCATATTTATTTGGCGAAAGCAAGAATCAAAGTTGTAGTACAGGAGTAAAAACCGACCTAATAATTCGATTTCTTATATCCATTGCCCAATTCAATAAAGGAGCTTTTGGTTGATTAGTGAAAAGATTCCAAGCACCGGTCGCTGTTGTGTAATTAATCGCAAACGAGAACGTTCCTGATATTCGATAATCAATGGATGCATCCGGATTATAGCAATCAAAAAGTGTCCGAATTGTAGCAATCAATCTGCTTGAATTGACCAATTGGCGACATGGACAATCGGACGCCATTACCGGAACGTAATGTGAAATGTGCTCCGGAATGGAATGGCTGAAGTCACGTGACTCATTCCGGCGCGCAGTGGATTGAAAGTAGTGGGGGATCTGTCAGCCAATCAAGTTTTGAGCTTATTTGTAGAGATCAGTTGATTCGTTCGCGCCCCAATGAACTCAATTTCTGATTGGTCGAAATCACGAGACTTCCGCCATTATGCGCAATGGGTCACCTTTTTTTCTACACCATGCTGCTCTACGTTGCGTTTCTCATAGGTGCGTTCAGGGAGACGCTATTAGCTATTTGTGTCATTCTATCCTTGTTTTACGTCTAATGACTCCTGCACACTGGACGCGGAAACGCTTACCGCGCGGCAAAATACGACGCGGTAGCCAATAAGCTTACAGCTCCTAATGCCCGTGTCACACTACGCATTGAAGATTGAGGATTGCGAATTAAGGATTAGAATTCGACCAATCAAGTAATTTTAAGTTCAATCCATTTCGTTCTAATTGGCTGAATTCTAATCCTCAATTCGCAATCCTCAGTCTCCAATGCGTAGTGTGACA